TTGGGGGGTTACAGGGCATTCAGAGCAGGGAAATTGGGATTTTTGGCACCACACGCCGCACCCCTCTGACTCCGAGAGGATCAGGTGGGATTCCCAAAAATCCCGAAATTCCAGAAAATCCCAAAATTCCCAAAAAAATCCCGAATTCGGGGGGGTTACGGTGGGATTTTGGGGATTCAGAGCAGGGAAATTGGGATTTTTGGGGTATTTTGGCACCACATGCCGCACCCCTCGGACTCCGAGAGGATCAGGTGGGATGGCTGAAATTCCCAAAATTCCCGAAATTCCCAAAAAAATCCCAAATTCGGGGGGTCCTGGGTGGGGTTTGAGGGGGGTTATAGGGGTTTTTTGGGGATTCAGAGCAGGGAAATTGGGATTTTTGGCACCACATGCCGCACCCCTCGGACTCCGAGAGGATCAGGTGGGGATTCCCGAAAATCCCGAAATTTAAAAAAATCCCGAAATTCCCAAAAAATCCCGAAATTTGGGAGGTCCTTGGTGGGGTTTGAGGGGATTTTTGGGGATTCAGAGCAGGGAAATTGGGATTTTTTTTTAGGATTTTTATTTGGAATTCCCAGCAGTTAAATTCAGATTTTTTGGGTATTTCTGGGGGAATTCCCAGCAGTTAAATTCAGATTTTTTGGGTATTTCTGGGGGAATTCCCAGCAGTTAAATTCAGATTTTTTGGGTATTTTTGGGGGATTCAGAACAGTTAAATTCAGATTTTTAGGGGATTCAGAACAGTTAAATTCAGATTTTTTGGGTATTTTTGGGGGGATTCAGAACAGTTAAATTCAGATTTTTTGGGTATTTTTGGGGGAATTCCCAGCAGTTAAATTCAGATTTTTTTGGTTTTTTTGGGGGAATTCAGAACAGTTAAATTCAGATTTTTTGGGGGCATTCCCAGCACTTAAATTGGGATTTTTTGGGTATTTTTGGGGGAATTCAGAACAGTTAAATTCAGATTTTTTGGGTTTTTTTGGGGGGATTCAGAACAGTTAAATTCAGATTTTTTGGGTATTTTTGGGGGCATTCCCAGCAGTTAAATTCAGATTTTTTGGGTTTTTTTGGGGGAATTCAGAACAGTTAAATTCAGATTTTTTGGGGAATTCAGAACAGTTAAATTCAGATTTTTTGGGGTATTTTTGGGGGAATTCAGAACAGTTAAATTCAGATTTTTTGGGGGCATTCCCAGCAGTTAAATTGGGATTTTTTGGGTTTTTTTGGGGGGATTCAGAACACTTAAATTCACATTTTTTGGGTATTTTTGGGGGAATTCAGAACAGTTAAATTCACATTTTTTGGTGACATTCCCAGCACTTAAATCGGGATTTTTTACCTTTTTTAGCCCCCTCTCCCCCCCTCCCCCCGCGATGGATCACCCGGACCTTCCCCAAACCCTCCGTTTGTATTTTGGGTGCGTTTTGCCCGTTTTTGGCCGTTTTTAACCCGATTTTTTTGCCGTTTTTTCGCAGGCAGTACCTGCCCCGCAACCCCTGCCCCACCCCCCCCTACCACCACCAGCTGCCGCCGCCGCACTCGGACACGGTGGAGTTCTACCAGCGCCTGTCCACCGAGACCCTCTTCTTCATCTTCTACTACCTGGAGGTGCCAAAATCCCCAGAATTCACCCCAAAAATCGGGGGTCCCGAAAATCCCCAAAATTGCCCGAAAATCCCAAAAAAAACGGGGGAAAAATGCCCCAAAACGGCCCCAAAATCCACCCCAAAGGAGCTTTTTGGGGGTTCTTCAGACCTTCTTCTTCATTTTCTGCTCCAAAATCCCCCAAATTTGACCCAAAATTCTGAAAATTCACCCCAAAAATTGGGGGTGACGAAAATCCCGAAAATTGCCCGAAAATCCCAAAAAAAACGGGGCAAAAATGCCCCAAAACGGCCCCAAAATCCACCCCAAAGGAGCTTTTCTTCCTCTTCTCCAGACCCTCTTCTTCATCTTCTGCTCCCTGGAGGTGCCAAAATCCCCAGAATTCGCCCCAAAAATCGGGGGTGACAAAAATCCCCAAAATTGCCCAAAAATCCCAAAAAAAACGGGGGAAAAATGCCCCAAAACGGCCCCAAAATCACCCTCAGAATCCACCCCAAAGGAGCTTCTCCGAAATTCCCGAAATTCTTCTTCATCTTCTACTACCTGGAGGTGCCAAAATCCCCAGAATTCGCCCCAAAAATCGGGGGTCCCGAAAATCCCGAAAATTGCCCGAAAATCCCAAAAAAAACGGGGGAAAAATGCCCCAAAACGGCCCCAAAATCCACCCCAAAGGAGCTTTTTGGGGGTTCTTCTTCTTCTCCGAAATTCCCGAAATTCTACTTCATCTTCTGCTCCCTGGAGGTGCCAAAATCCCCAGAATTCACCCCAAAAATCGGGGGTCCAGAAAATCCTGAAAATTGCCCGAAAATCCCAAAAAAAATGGGGGAAAAATGCCCCAAAACGGCCCTTTTTGGGGGTTCTTCAGAGCCTTTTCTTCATTTTCTGCTCCAAAATCACCAAAATTTGACCCAAAATTCTGAAAATTCACCCCAAAAATCCTGGGAATGACAAAAATCCTCAAAATTGCCCAAAAATCCCCAAAAAAACAGGATAAAAATGCCCAAAATTGCCCCAAAATTCCTCTTGTCCAGACCTTCATCTTCTACTCCCTGGAGGTGCCAAAATCCCCAAAATTTGACCCAAAATCCTGAAAATTCACCCCAAAATCCTGAAAATTCACCCCAAAATTCTGAAAATTCACCCCAAAATCCTGAAAGTTCACCCCAAAATTCTGAAAATTCACCTCAAAATTCTGAAAATTTGACCCAAAATCCTGAAAATTCACCCCAAAATTCTGAAAATTTGACCCAAAATCCTGAAAATTCACCCCAAAATTCTGAAAATTCACCCCAAAATCCTGAAAATTCACCCCAAAATCCTGAAAATTCACCCCAAAATTCTGAAAATTCACCCCAAAATCCTGAAAATTCACCCCAAAATCCTGAAAATTCACCCCAAAATCCTGAAAATTCACCCCAAAATTCTGGGATTCCCAAAAAATTCCAAAACAACCCGAAAACCTAAAAAAAAACCTAAAAAAATCCCCAAAATTTGTCCCAAAATCCTGGGAATTCACCCCAAAATTCTGGGAATCCCTAAAAATTGTTCCCGGTGGATTTTGGGTGCAGATTTGGGGATTTTGGGGTTCGGATTTTGGGATTTTTTGGGATTCTGATTTTGGGATTTTTTTGGGGTGTCCCTGGTCGATTTTTGGGATGTTTTTGGGATGTTTTTGGGGTATTTTTGGGATTATTTTTGGGATGTTTTTGGGATATTTTTCGGGTATTTTTGGGATGTTTTCGGGATTTTTTGGAGGATATTTTGGGGATTATTTTGGGATATTTTGGGGATACTTTTGAGATATTTTGAGGATTATTTTGGGATATTTTGGGATGTTTTTGGGGATATTTTTGGGATATTTTTGGGATATTTTGGGGATATTTCTGGGATATTTCTGGGACGATTTTGGGACATTTTTGGGACATTTTTGGGATATTTTCGGGGTGTCCCAGGGCACGAAGGCGCAGTACCTGGCGGGTTTTGGGTGTGGATTTGGGGATTTTTCTGGGATGTTTTTTGGGATATTTTTGGGATATTTCTGGGATGATTTTGGGACATTTTTGGGATATTTCTGGGATGTTTTTTGGGATATTTTTGGGATATTTCTGGGATGATTTTGGGATATTTCTGGGATGATTTTGGGATATTTCTGGGATGATTTTGGGATATTTTTGGGGTGTTTTCGGGGTGTCCCAGGGCACGAAGGCGCAGTACCTGGCGGGTTTTGGTGCGGATTTGGGGATATTTTTTGGGATATTTCTGGGATATTTTTGGGATATTTTTGGGATATTTTTGGGATATTTCTGGGATATTTTTGGGATATTTTTGGGATATTTTTGGGATATTTCTGGGACATTTTTGGGATATTTTTGGGATATTTCTGGGACATTTTTGGGATATTTTTGGGACATTTTTGGGACATTTTTGGGGTGTTTTCGGGGTGTCCCAGGGCACGAAGGCGCAGTACCTGGCGGGTTTTGGGTGTGGATTTGGGGATGTTTTTTGGGGATATTTTTGGGATATTTCTGGGATATTTCTGGGATGATTTTGGGACATTTTTGGGACATTTTGGGGATATTTCTGTGATATTTCTGGGATGATTTTTTGGATATTTCTGGGATATTTCTGGGATATTTCTGGGATGATTTTGGGACATTTTTGGGATATTTTTGGGATGATCTTGGGATATTTTTGGGACATTTTCGGGGTGTCCCAGGGCACGAAGGCGCAGTACCTGGCGGGTTTTGGGTGCGGATTTGGGGATTTTTCTGGGATGTTTTTTGGGATATTTCTGTGATATTTCTGGAATATTTCTGGGATATTTCTGGGATATTTTTGGGATGATTTTGGGATATTTTTGGGACATTTTCGGGGTGTCCCAGGGCACGAAGGCGCAGTACCTGGCGGCCAAGGCTCTCAAGAAGCAATCCTGGCGCTTCCACACCAAGTACATGATGTGGTTCCAGCGGCACGAGGAGCCCAAAACCATCACGGACGAGTTCGAGCAGGT